ATTAAAAAATAAAAATTAAATTTACAAAACAAAGCAGAAAACCCTCTCGGCAATGACCTGCTCCTCTGTTACCCACAGAGTTCTCTCTCATGTCCCATCCTGTCCCATCCCACAGTGTATGTGCCACTTTGCTCCTGCTTTTCTTCCTCTCCATCACATACTCCTTCATTGCAGTGCCATTGGGAGCTGCAGTGAGTCACACAGCAGCTCATCTAGCTTTGCTTGCAAATGTTCATTGCAAAGAGCCCTTGGTCTGCTTCAAAGTCTCTGGCTTATGCTACATCATCAATACTGAACCCTCACTGAGAGTCCTTTCTGCTATCTTGCTGCTGCCCCAGGTCATGGAGATCCAGCAGTTATGGTTCCAACAGCTCTCCAGTGCCTTGTGGCAGCTGGTGAGGGGCAGAGCAAGCTCTGTAGGTAGGAGGGTGCAGCCAAAGAGAGGTAGTGTGAGCTCCCCTTGTTGTTGGGCCCTAAAGTCTTCCTCGGAGAAAAGGGTGAGAAGGCACAGTGTCATCATCTCAGACACTTGGAGTTATGTAGAAGACATTCCCCTCAGCCACTGTGTGGTGGCCAGTAAGGCGTGGAACCAGCTCTCCCTCACCCACATCATATCAATGCTAATGTGTGACAGGAGGTGAGTCAGGACCAACTCTCCAGCTACTGGCAAGGGGCATGGCCAGCTCAGCAACACCCTTGAATATCAACAGGGCTTCAGGTGGCAGCCCAGATCACAAGCATCCACATGGCTTTTTGTAGTAGTATGAGCTACAGACATCAGTACAGACCCTGAATGGCTGCAGTAGGACCACAGACCCAGACATGGTCCGTGGCCACAACAGGGCTTGGGCATCACCATGACCTCAGGTGGCAGCACAGGCCACTCAGATCATGATGGCCCTGGCAACAGCATGGTCCTCAGCATCAACATGACCTTTGATGGTGGTGGCCCAGACCATGGAAATCCTCATGGCCCTTGGTGGTAACAAAAGCAATGGACATCAACATAGACCCCAGCCCTGAACGCAGACATGGTCCTCAGTGACAGCATAGGCGGGACATCACGTGCCTCAGTCTGTTCCTCGTTGCCAGCAAGGCTCCAGTTCTGCCTCTCTCCACAGCATGTGGACCGCTCCACTTCTCTTACCCCCTCATCTCTCCACTACACACTTGCTCATCAGTGTGGCACCTGTCCAGCCTGTGCCACGTGGCAGTGGGCCGGGGCTCTGGTTGTCTCTCCTATTATGATGGTTTTAAGATTATTTGTTTTACAATTTGTTTGTTTAGGAGAGTTTCATACGATGTCCTCCTACCAGAGTAGTGGTAGTAGTAATAGTAGTTGTAGTACTAATAATAGTGGTGGTGGTAGTGGTAATAGTTTCACGTCTGGGACCTATGAACTCGCCAACCATGGGATCATGAACAGATTTATAGTTCTAGGCAAGTGTTACCTCCTGTAGAGTGGGCCTTAAATTCAACCGTAAAGTGATTTGGTTACCTCTGTGGTACTCATGCCACTGTTTCAGGGGTATATCCTGCCATGCTGGCCTTTATTGTAGTTCACAGAGGGATAAGCATACTGACGACTTTCCTCCCCTCAATAGCCTGGTAGTATCTTCAGGTAATAGGAAAACTAGGCAGTACGAAGGAAGGTTTCTGGTCAGCATCAACTTGATTTCTCCACACCCTGTGGCCAAAGTGTGTGGTGTCTTAAGCAATAGGAATCAAGAGTGATGACAATGACCTGTGTTGTTTGGGGGAGGGGTCACTGGAACAGCCCTGACCAACAACTGGAGTGGGTAACCCACACTTTGCACTGGGCTTTTTAATAATCCATGGCTTCTGGGAGGAGCATTATCCCTTTTGTCAGGTAGCTCCGATTAAACTCATATATATATATATATATATATATATATATAATAAAAATCATAGGTTTCCCTACTACTGTCACGTCTGGTCTTTAATTCAATCTGTAAGAGAAAATATTCTATATCTACCTGATAAGTCTGACTTGTTGCACTCATGTGAGGATCTCCATTTTAACACAGGCTTCTGAGTCTTTTCCAAATTCTTCCCGATGTGATAGGTCACTGTGCACTTATCTGGAATCAGCCATTTTCCCCAGGAATCTTTGAGTGGGCAGTGTTTTTAGTGTACTCAATCTGAGCAATGGAGTTGAGTGATAAGTAGTTGATTGGATTCAGTGCATGGAATGAATACTTCAGCATCTCTTCAAGAGCGTAAATGTTATCAGCCTCTGTCCTGGTTTCTTCCATGGCACTCTATAGGAGATCATTTTCTCTTCTTGGGGGGTGCTCAACTATCCACTGTTTCATAGCACAGGCATACACATATTATCAATTCTAGCACTCACAACAAAAGGTGTGAACTCTCGGTGCCCAATGTAACTTTCTGAAGAGATGAAAATGCTCAGTATCTGCACTGCCCAGCCCAGGAAGCACTCACTAGCTGTCTGCTGTTGGGCACCGGAAATCTGAGCAGTGCTAAGGATGATATTTATAAATTCGGTTAAATTTTGTTTGTTAAAATATGACTTTATTTATTTTAAATAGGTTTATATAATCTATTAACCTCCATGTGCCACATGTAACTGTGAGGACAATATTAGGCAGATAACACTGGCCCCATTTCTTCACCTTGTGTTGTCTATTCAGAATACACCCTGGAGATCACTCTGTAGAACTATAATCATGTGCTTCATGTTGCCTTTTTAAAAATTATTTTGTTCTTTTGTTTTGAGATAAGACCTCAATATATAAGTCGGGTAAACCTTGAACTCACTATGTAGCTCAGGATAGCCTCAAAACAACTATTGTCTTGTCTTTCCCATCAGCTTGCTGGCATCCCAGATCCGTACCACCATAGCTGGCTAAGCACATGCGTACCTCATCCTTTGAGTCATAGATACACCCGAGATCAGGCCGTCACTCTCTCCTTCCCCACAGACGATTTTCATAGTTCTGCTCTTGGAGTTCTACATTGCTGCTCTGAGAGGGTCCTTGTGTCCCCTTCTGTGTTCTTTGGGATGGATCCTTAGAAGAAAGATCCCTGGTCCCAAGAATGCACGCTTGTGTTATTCACTAGCCTCAGATTCTCTCCATACACTTGGAGAACAGTTGCATTCTCTCCAGCAATGGAGAAGAGTGTCTCTTTGCTCACAGACTACCCACGGGGAGAGCTGAGAGGAGGTGACTCCTATGTGAGAAACCTGCGGTGAGCATTTCCTGAAACCAGGAGAGTTACATGCTCAGACTAGACCCTCTGCCTGTCTTTGTGTTTGAAGACGTGGTTCTTCTTCCTCTCTGTGTCCTGTGGCTCTGGCTCTAGTCCCAATGTGGGAAAGGAAAGTCACGTGCTTGGTGTCACCTCAATGTCCCCTTTAAACAAATTGTTTTCTTATAGATCATTCATACTTGGTTAAGTATGGAAACATGTTAACTGCACTATCAAATGGGAAGCATAATCAGGAAAAATCTACTCCCCACTCAGGACAACTTCCAAGACAGACACCACACAAGGTTTATCCTCCCCTCCCCTCTTTGTAAGGGAGATACAGCCAGGAGCAGGGTGGGGCCTGATAGCTAGCACTATGGGAAAGATGGCCAAATTTTCCTTAGTTTCCCAAGGCGGTATTTTTTTGTCTTTTTGGACCAGACCCATGGAAGGCAGTCTCTTTGAATCGTTTCCATGGGAATCCACTTGAGCAGATCAAAAGAGGGAAAAAGGAATTGTGTGAGACATGTAGATGTGGGGTTAGAATGATGATGCCTGGCTCACAATAAACTAATTCACAGAGTAAATTTATGACAAGGATGAAGAAAGTAAGTGTGTGTGTGTGTGAGTGTATGTGTGTGTGCATGTGTATGTGTGTACCTGCACTCAATCTTGTATAATTCACAATACACAGAGAATCAAGGTGCGTTAGCACTTATTATTTTGTTACCTATTTTGAGAAGTATTTTTGTTTCT